CCCAAGCCCATACTTTTGAGAGCACCATGTGAGCACCTGTGTGTACACGCGCTTGTTTATTTAAGGTTTCTCTATAGGAGCGTCCAACAGAGAGTGTGAGGGACCACAGATCCGTCCCCCAAAGATGCGCAGGAGACGGGGGGAGCTCCAAGTCTCAGAGATCCAGGCGCTGCCCCAGAACACAGGAACCCCAAGGAGACTGCAACCAGAAAGGCCCCCGCCCCGCTCGAGAGGCACAGAGGATCGCCCCGGGGGGCCACACCCAGCAGCCGGCAGAGTCCCGGGAGATATCAGCGGCAAGCCCACAGGCCCGTCCGCAGCCTCCCACCCCCTAGCCGGCCTAGGGGCGACCACCCCTGCACGGTGAGGGAAATCGAAGAGAGCGGCAGATTACAGCCAAACATGAATTCAGCCAATATTAGTCTCTTGTTAAAACCAGACAAAGACCCAGCATTTCCAACCAGCTATCGCCCAATTTCGCTTATTAATGTTGATCTCAAAATAATTTGTAAAGCCCTGGCCAAAAAATTTGAGAAGGTAACCCCCTTCATAATACACCCTGACCAAACTGGTTTCATTAAAGGTAGACAGTCATCCACAAACTCACGTTGATTACTTAATTTGATAGATTTATCTTACAGTAGAAACATAGAAACTAGTATATTATCTCTAGATGCAGAAAAAGCTTTTGATAGAGTTAACTGGAAGTTCTTATTTGCAACTTTACATAAATTTGGTTTTGGGAACTTCTTCATAAACTGGCTACAAACATTATACAGTTCACCAACAGCACGTGTCAGGACGAACGACCAAATATCAGCTAGCTTCTGTCTTCAGAGGGGGACCAGGCAGGGATGCCCACTCTCCCCCTCACTATTTGCTATCTTTATCGAACCACTAGCAGCAGCAATTAGGCAAACAACAGATATTAAAGGGATAAAGTGTAAACAAATAGAACATAAGATCAGTCTTTATGCAGATGATGTTTTACTCTTTCTCCAGAATTCTCAATCATCTCTCTCCCAAGCAACAGAACTGATAAACTCTTTTTCCAGAGTTTCAGATTGCTCTATAAACTGGTTAAAATCCACAGTTCTACCAATTAATTTCTCATTTGTCAATTTGCTTAATACACAATTGGAGTCAGGGAATATCACATACCTGGGAATTAATATCTCTCCCAAGTTAGCAGATCTAACCAAACTAAACTACATCCCACTTTTAAGGAAAGTGGAAGATGATCCTTCAAGATGGAAATCCTTACCAATATCACTCATGGGGAGGGTTGCTACAATTAAAATGATGGTCTTACCCAGAATAAATTACTTATCCTCGATGATCCCAAACAAACCACCAGCTGACTGGTTTAAATCTCTGGACTCCTCAATTACTAAATTCCTTTGGCAGGATAAACCTCCACGAATTAGCTTAAAAACGCTTCAGAAGACCAAAGACAGAGGAGGACTGGATTTACCCAACTTTTATTATTATTTCTTAGCCAACAGGCTGCAATATATACCAAGATGGTTGCAAGATAACCCATTAGATGAGTCCTGGTTAGATATAGAACAGACACTTTGCAATACGATAGAGCTTTCAGACTTACCATTTATTAGCTCAAGCATAAGAAAATATGAAAGCTTCAAAAGTATTAGTATCAGCACCTCTCTGACAGCATGGTGGGAGTATCTTAAAATGACAGAGTCTTCACTAGTACCATGCAGACGCACACCTATCTGGAATAATCCTGACATTCTGCAAAACAACAAAATGATGAACCTTCCGGACTGGAAAAATAAAGGAATCCTATACCTGGAACACATATACGAAGGATTGGACTTCATCCCATTTAATCAAATAGTCTCCCAATTTGGAAGGGATAAGAATAGCTTTTTAGAATACCACCAAATTAAATCTGTAGTCAAACAAAAATTTAAGCTCAATAAAATAGAATTACAAACACCACCAAGGGTATTAGACTTTTATAATCTCAAACCCCCCAAACTACTGTCTAAAGTATATAAGACACTGTCTAAAATAGACGATAAAATTGCAATCCCTATTGAAAAATGGGAGGTGGATCTATCAGTTAGCTTTGACCAGGACTTCTGGTCCCAAACTTGTTTAAAAACTTTTAAAATGATCAGACACCCCAATTTACAATTAATTCAGTACAAAATTCTACACAGAGTACACTATACAGGTCATTGGATGTTCAAGATGGGGTTTGTGTCGTCTGACACCTGTACACACTGCACAAACAACATTCCTGACAATTACATTCATGCACTGTGGTCCTGCCCACCTGTCCAGGAATTTTGGGGTAGAGTATGTGAGGATCTGTCAAAATGTCTGAAATGTCATATCCCAACTTCCCCCTCTCTTTGTTTACTGGGAAACCTGGACGATGTCCCGATTGAAACATCTTTGGTTCACGTGATTCTGACTGCCATATGCATTGCTAAGAAAACTATCCTCTTGAATTGGAAAAATAGAGAAACTCTCTGCATTAACCAGTATAGAAATCTTTTGTTAGATCATATTGCACTTGATATAGCCTCTGCTTCCACTTCAGATGGATCTCTCTGGGCTCCTTTGATCGGTTCCATCACATAGCGATGATGGGGGGCCGTTGATGTTGTCCTGCGGGATGGTGTGTGTGTGTGTGGGGGGGGGGGGGGGGGTGTCTGAGTTTGGAGTATCCGGATGTTCCCTGGGGGTGGGTTCACTGGGGGTGTCTGGGACTGGGGGACCGTTGCCCCCCTCTGGAGGTACTTGGGTTGCCTCGGGGGGTGGACTTTTGGCGGTTGTGAGTGGGGCCCCTTGGGGATCTTGGCGGCGGCCATGGGTCACTGCCTGGCGGTTGCAATGCCCCTGGGCGGGTCTGGGTGGGGGCCTGGGGGCTCGGGGTTTGGGGGTGGCTGGCCCCGTGTGGGGATCTGGACGGGGCCTTGGGGGTCGGGTCCTGACATGTATGCTGCCGGGAAGAAGGCAGGAACACGCAGCAGTGCCTGGCCCGGGTTCGGGGGCCTCAGGTAGACCTTGGCTCCTCTGCCGTTCCATCACAGGGGAGCGGGAGGTCCAGGAGGGGGAGGACCCAACCTTACCTGGATGTCCCATGTCTTATATATTCTGGAAGTTGTGCAAATGTGGGAACGGGCATAGATATTCAGCTGGGGTGGGGCTGGGTTGGTGCCCTCGGATTCTGTGAGGCTCTGTAATGCTGCTGCTTTGGGCCCTGGCAGGATGGGCTGGGGTCTCCATGCCCTGGGTGGCAGTTTGACAACAGAGGTGCCTATTGGGGCCAGTAGGGGAGCTGGCTCCCTGGAGGGCTAAGCCCAACCAGCCATTCCTCCCCATCCCCGCATATCTCTCTCCTCCTGCTCCCTCACATCATCGCACAAACATACACATAGGACCTTGGGGGGTGGGCAAGTCAGGGAGTGCGGGTATGGACCCCATTTCCGCATTCCTGTGGCAACCTGCCCCCCAATTTTATTTGCACCTTATAAGCTTCTACTGACGACATTCCACACAAACACACACTTAGGGCCTTGGGAGTGAGCACATTCAACGGCATTTGGCAAGGGGATATTTCAGCCTCCTCCCGGGTGCCAGTGCCCACTTCCAATTTTAAACCGCACTTAGACACTGATGGCTGAAGTTGTGAGTGGGGTGGTGCGGTGGCATCAGCGGGCATAGGCCGGACAATGCCCGCACTGCCCACTCACCACAGCCATGGAATACACCTCATGATTACACAACACTATATTGGAGCAGGCGGAGGGAGACTAGGGGTCTTTGCCACCTCTGTTGTTGCTAGGCTTCCTGGGGCTGGAGGCTAGGAGGGGGATCTGGCCGTCTGGTTGGGGTCTGGGGTGGTGGGTTGCTGTGTTCAGCGTTGGGCGGGGGAGCCTGCTCATCAGCACCCCAGCAGAAAGGGTCAAACTCTGGTTACCAATGTGCAGCAGTACCGGGACCAGAGTGAATAGGGTGTGTATGGGGAGCATGAGTGGGTGTCCGGGATGATGAAAATTTTTCTATATATCGTGCAGCCCTAGTTCACATCCAGAATCGAACCCAGGTCTTCTGCACGAGAGTCTGATGTCTTACTAAGTGAGCTAAAGCGCCAGTGACGTCCTTTGTATCTGTAACATTTATATCCTTGATGACAGCTAAAACAACGTTCAGAGAACGGTTCGGAGCAAAATGGCTATTTTGTTGCTAATTTGCAGGAAATATCTTGAAGAAAGTTCTACAGAAAGTAGCTAAGGGTCCTCAGAAATGTAGCTAGCTTTGTCACTAGGCGTTAGGAACAGTGACAAAGTGGCACTGCCTCTCTCTCTGCTGCTAAAGCTACGGATAGCAAATGCTACGGGCTATGCCTGAGCGTGAACGCGCATGAAGCAGCCTGCTCGACCCGAGCATCTCTCTTTTTCTGTGATTTTACAGAAAAACAGGCAATCACAGTAAAAATGCCAGGGCTCATTCTACAGGACCAGGGCATTGCAGGAGAATGTATGAAGAAGACATTTATTATTTCTATACGTGTTTTGGCTGTCAAACTTCCATAATTACGTGTTTTACTTATAATTTGGTTGGTTTACTTAATAATTGTGACCACTTACAAAACATTACAATCAATGTATCGAAATATGATTATGATTCACTGAAGAAGCAAGCCATAACCAATTATAGTGGAATGCAGTTTTTTTGTTTTTTTACTGCGGCACCAGCGTTAGATCCAAACTTAAAATATAGTCAGGATTCTAAAATTAACTCTAAAGTTAACGGGTAACCAGTGCAGAGACGTTAGAATAGGAGTGATGTGAGCTCTTCCGTTTGCTCCAGTTAGGAGCCTCGCTGCACATTTGCCTTTTATTTGACTAAAGTCGTCACATAAAAGGCAGCCCTAAAATATTTAACTAAAATGAGCAGTTTCAAGAAGTCCCTTATTGTGACATCACAGTAAGGAAAACAAACATAGCACCCCCCCTCACCTGTTGACCCCGGAGCAGCAGCAGCTCTGATCTCAGCTTCAGGAAACAGTGACAAAAGGAGTTGGTGTCTGTCTGGTTCTGCTTCATCGTGGTCTCTTTCCTCACCAGCAGGAGTCACAAGGGAGGTCACCGTCTCCTGCTTCAGTACACACTGCTCTTCATCCTGACTGATGCAGAGCTCCTCTTGTTTTACAATCTGCAAAGGTTCTGGCTCATCCTGCTCCACTTTCATCTGTGGAGGTTCTGGTCCCTCCTGTAAAGGTTCTGCTTGTTCCTGCTCCAAACTGGAGGTCCTCTCCTGGTTCCAGAGCTGCTGGTCAGTCAGAACCTCCTCATCTGTCCTGACATAATGCAGTGGGAGTTCTGGACAGACAAACAGACCAAACAAAAAGCTGAGTCATGTGACAATAAGAAAGCACACTTCACTTGAACCATCTGATGCATCTGAAGATGTTTTAGAAAACAATGAACTCTTAACCTCTCTGTGTGTGTGTGTGTGTGTGTGTGTGTGTGTGTGTGTGTGTGTGTGTGTGTGTGTGTGTGTGTGTGTGTGTGTGTGTGTGTGTGTGTGACTGGACTCAGTATCTATCAGACTGACTCGTTTAACAAGTCTCTGATTGTAGAACATCAGCTGGAAGCGTTCACCAAGTCTTTAAAGTTTGTCTCTTTTAAACTGATTTAGTGGAGTTCCTGAAAATGAAAACTTCCTAAAATCCCTGAAATGTTATTGATTTGTTTCTCTAAAGTGGAACAAAGTTTACCGCAGACTGATTTCAGCTCAGTTGTGTCAAAAAGCTTCAGAACAGCAAACGGATCCAAGCAGACTGTCCTGAGATTGTGTCCTCAGTAAAACCACATGAGTCCCGCTGCTGTTTCATACCTATTCTGTGTAAGTTGATCTGTGGTTTCCAGCTGATCTCCAGCAGTCTGCGCTGACGATCGATCTCTTCCTCGTAGCGGACGATGGTTTTTTCAAACTCGGAGAAGATTTCTGCAGCAGCAGCAGTTAGCCGCTCTCTGATCACCTCTCTCAGAGACTGAGCTGAAGACATTGTTGCTGCAGAGCCTCAGAGGTTCCCCTCACACACCAGCACAGCAAGCTAGCGCTGGTAGCTAACAACAAGCTAGTTCTGATAACAGCTTCCGGTCATGTGGCAGCGTGAAGGCGCGTTAGCGCCACCTACTGGACTGGAGTTGGACCAGCAACAACAAGGAAGAGATGAAGGTGTGGAACACAGGTTCAGGTCAAAAGGTGACAGAATGAGACTAATAACAGTGGAAAGAGAAACTGTTGAAGATCTGAGGGAAACGATCAACAGAGCAGATTTAGCTGGAATCACACAGCTGCAGGTTTTTAGGGACAAAGAGAAAACTGATCCATCTGTTACTGGAATTCAACAATCAGTTCTCTGGAGGAACAAATTATTTCATCCCTCCTGATGTTCTTAGTTCAGTTCAGTTTATTTATAAAGTGTTAGATGGGAAGAGAGACTAGAGAGGATGTAACAAGGGCGTAGGAACGAGTTTAATATTGCTGTTACACCAGAGACCTTCATCAGGAATTCCTGAAGCACCTTTCCCAGATGAGCGGTGACTCCTTCTACTCATTATGTGATCATTAAAATCATACTGCATTCATGTTTAGAGCAACTCTCAAATACCAAATATAATCTCAAGTTTCCTTTTATTTTGTCTTTTGTTGCATGTTAAAATATACATTGTAGTAATACTTTGTCTCTTTTTGTTGAACCACCTGTTGCTTGAACTGATATTGAGAATTATCTCACTGAAGTCAAACAGGGTGTGTCTACTGAGACACCGCTGGATTTGTGAAAGTCAACACAGGCTTTCTATTCAAAACCTTCCCCTGTAGATAATGATTTTGCTTCTCAAGCATTTGTGGAATGCATTTATTCTGTGTGTGGAGTGCTGTCATCTGGCCAGAGAAAAAGAGCAACCACATCTCTGGAACAACGGGTTTTCCTTAAAATCAACAAAATGCTCTTAAAAAAAACAATTATTTATTACAAAAACATATCAAACCAGCTTCCAACAACTGTGATTGACTATCAGAATATGTGCAAAAAGTATCCAAAACATTGTACCCATGATGGCTTGACTGTTATGTTGCAGTATTGACAGTCCGTTTCAGGGGCAGGTCAGGTTGGCTCTATTCACACATGTATCAGCACAGCATGAAACACACAAACAGTTGAGATCTTTTGAACTGGATTTCTGTTCAAACGTTTAGAACAATTCATGTCATGCTATTTGGATGACCTCAGTTTGTAGGAAAATATGAACGAGTTAACAGCTAGTCTGAGATTCACACAAGCTGTTAACGTGTCCATCTCATAGTGCAGGAGTGTCCTGCATTATTGTGGTTTTAGTGATGTCAGTCAGTTCCATTGTTATCAGAACTGTAGAACCAGCATTTAACTTATTGTCTCCTAATATTCATATTTAAATTAATCTAAATTACTTCAGAGATTGCAAGTTCTGTTGACCTACATACACTTGCTGTTTTGAAAATGCATTCTGCAGCTGGTTTGTATCCTGTTCAGTTCATTTTTTGTTATTCTGCCTGGAACGTATGGTAGCTCACCTGTTCAAAAAGAATATGGTTTTGAAAACAGTTTTGTTACACACAGCAATTTCTATTATCAGTATCAGACTACCGGTCTTGTCACTGATATGTAACTTAATATTACAAAAACCTATAAAAATTTGATTAAAACTAATAAAAACTCAACTGAAACTAAAAAGTAGATGAAACTAAAACTAAACAGAACAAAAACAAACATTGAAAATAAAGACTAATGAAAAATGCTAAACAATTAAAATATTGGCCAACCACAGTTTATGTATATTAAAATGTAAAATTTCCAGCTAAATTAGAATAAACGATTACAAATATCAATGAAAAAAGATTAATTTGTTAATAGACTACATAGAAATTTATTCAAAAAAAAGAAACAAATCTCACAGTGTGTCTTTAACAGAGCTTTAGAATTAGTGTTTGTGTTCAATGAGTGGGTGACATTTTTTTCAGTGCGGTGGTCTCTGGTAAGATTGAATACCTCGTAAATGGTTCTCAGGGGGAACAAATATACTGTTGCACCATTTCTCAGACCTAAAAGTTTCTCACATATCAGATGAGCTTTAAACGGCGGGTTGTGAAGTCTTATTTCCTGATATGTGGACATCTCGCCCCGGATTGGATAACAGCAATGCAACTCTACCACTGACTTGCAACATGGATATTTTATCTCTCAAAATACACGAGCTTGGAGGACCTTCTCCTGTGAGGTGTAGTTGCTAATGCTGACAGTTAGTTTAAACTAGGGCTGCAACAAATGATTATTTGGATAATCGATGAATCGAATGGGGTCTCGACACGATTAATCGATTAATCGGATTACATGGGGAAATTTTTAAAAACTGCTAGGGAAACGTTATTTCTCTCCTTCCTTCACTTTATTTAACACAACATTATTAGAAAACAGTTCAATAGCAGAAAAACAACATGCCATCACCTAAATTGTCTTATAAGGTGTATAGACAGAGACCCTAAGCTACATCTATCTGTGACCTAAAATGCTTGGTCCAAGTTAAACAGCTTCAGGGCAATTCTCATCTGTTTTGTTTGATCTCATCTGTAGACATTTATTATAACTGGGGATGTCAAACAACTAATTTTTAAATGTAATTAAACATAGGCTGTGAATTAATCAAAATTGATCACTATTTCCAAAAATGACTGAAAAAATAAGTTGTCACACACTCCATGGAAACTTTCAGAGAATCCACAAATAGTGGCTTTCAAATGGTTTTGTTACTTTCTGCAAGTTTAGAAAAGCAGCAGATGAGAGAGCATGTCTGATAATTTAGTTTTTCATCTGATAATATTAGAACATGTCAGTAATGTCTGAGGGGCTTTTATAAACACTGTATAACAAACACTACTGGAGAGGGTATGAATTACACAGAGGTTTCTGGGGAACCCAGTTATGAGGGGGGGGGGGGGGGGGGTTGGGCATTTGGCCTTGGCCCCCAAAATGTCTTGAAACGGCGCTGGGTGTGTGACTGAGTGTTGAAGGTGACCTGAATATTATCAAATTTATAAATATTACATGTGTGTAACTTATTGTTTTATACAGGTAAAAACGTGTAGTGAAGATAAATCTATCTACATTTTACTTTTCAACACTTTATTTTGTTTTGTTGTTTTTATTGAACTATTTTCCTGTCCTGTCTGTCTCTCATCTTTCTGCATCTCCTCTTAATTCTCCAGAAAAACTGCTGCCTGGATTCTTACTTTTTCACCTCATCAGGTACTTCTGAGCAGATCAAAGGGATCTCCTGACCGCAAAGCGCAGAGCGCGTTTTCGATGCTGTGTGAGGTGAAATCACCGCAGCACAGGTGATGAGCTCCGCAGTAGCAGAGCGCTTCAGGCACAAATAAGACAGAAAATAGAGAACATGTGCAGACATGAACGATCGTGTGCTAATTATAGTTTTTTGGTTGCGCCACTTTGAGAATGGACCGTGCACTGGAAGCAGCTGCCTGGATCGCTGCGCAACAGCAATGCGCTGTGCCGCTCTCTGCTCAAAAGAGTCCAAAAATGATATAATATAGAAAACTTTTTTCCGGTTCCCCTGGATGTGTAGGATATACAGCTCCCCCATAATTCGATCCCTGCTCCTGGATGAAAAGCCGGACATTTTCATCAATACAAGAACCCGCAGTCCGGACGCGCCGGACAGAGAGTGAAAAGTGGACAAGTCCGGGGAAAACGGAACGTACGGTCACCATAGTCCTCATAAAGCGGGAAATTATAGATACAGTATTTTGCTCGTGCCCTGGGCCCTTTAGAGTTCGTGGGCCCTGGGAAACTGCCCAGTTAATCCGGCCTTGGGCGGAACCGGTTCGCAGCAGCGCGAGTCCCCCCGCTCATCTAACACGACTTTAGACTCTTTTTTTACGAGCTTAAGGCATGTCTAGCCTGTGTAATAATCCGGGACTTGGATGAATCACTTTTGAAAAGTTTTTAATTTACCCGGACACAGAGTTCTCTCCTTCCTCGCTGATGATCCCGACATGCTTGCGTTTAAGATGCTGCATAATCCCGTGCCATGCTAAGTCTGACCTAAACGTTGCAGGTAACGCATGTCTTCGCCTGATTTAACTGAAAATGCTGCCAAACTTAAAAAGCTTTTACTTTTTTGACTCTCGCTGCTTCTGCCATGTTCCTCTTCCAAACAACTGCCGGCTCTCCCTCGCGCTGATCTGCCGGCTCTCCCTCGTGCTGATCTGTCTGCGCGCAACGGCGGGCGGGAAGGGGGGGCGCTTTTGGAAGAGTTGTGCGACACAACGAATCGATGACGCAATTCGTTGCCAATGCTTTTAGTAATCGATTTTCATCGAATTTATCGATTCGTTGTTGCAGCCCTAGTTTAAACTAGCCGAGACGTCCACTGCTGATTACTGGATGTTAAAACAACAAGTCTTCCCTGTCGTGAATCAAGATCGTCGAGTCTATGAATGCTAATTCACAGTGCGACATAAATCTGTGAGGATTTTCAAATACATGAGGTTCATCTATTTTCTATCAGAAGCTAAAGCAGGAGAAAGGTGTAGGAGACTATTTTCATGTTCAGCCTGCATGAAAAACTCAGAGTGATCAATTATAATTACAATTTTTTTTTATTTTTTTAGTCAGTCAACCACACCTTAAACTTAGGGCTTAAATATAAACAGAGTCCACAATTAGACATAAAAAGCAATTTTGCCTTTTTTTTTTTATACTTTTTCCATCAACGCTCATCCTAAAAACATTTCTGTACATGTGTCACACTGGGCTAGTTTATGCCTAAGATATATGTGATTAAATATAGTCAAAATCTCAATTCTTCTCAACTTTATGAAGAAAAAAAAACACACATTTTAATGTATACAAACTGAAGTGTGAATTTTCATGAGAAGTTAAAGAAAATATCTGGCTGAATCTCTTACAGACCAAACTTGGAAAATACTGTTCACTTGTGTTGTGTTCTCATGTGATAAATCAAGCCACTACTGACAGTAAAACATTTACCACAAGTTTTACATGGATATGGCTTCTCACCTGTGTGAGTTCTCATGTGTTTAGTCAAGACACTACTGTAAGAAAAACATTTACCACATGTGTTACATGGATATGGCTTCTCACCTGTGTGAGTTCTCATGTGTGTTATCAAGTTACCACTGATAGTAAAACATTTACCACAAGTTTTACATGGATATGGCTTCTCACCTGTGTGAGTTCTCATGTGATAAATCAAGCCACTACTGTCACTAAAACATTTACCACAAGTTTTACATGGATATGGCTTATCACCTGTGTGAGTTCTCATGTGTTTAGTCAAGCCACTACTGTCACTAAAACATTTACAGCAAGTTTTACATGGATATGGCTTCTCACCTGTGTGAGTTCTCATGTGTTTAGTCAAGGTACTACTGGCAGTAAAACATTTACCACAAGTTTTACATGGATATGGCTTCTCATCTGTGTGAGTTCTCATGTGTTTAGTCAAGACACTACTGTAAGAAAAACATTTACCACATGTGTTACATGGATATGGCTTCTCACCTGTGTGAGTTCTCATGTGTGTTATCAAGTTACTACTGACACTAAAACATTTACCACAAGTGTTACATGGATATGGCTTCTCACCTGAGTGAGTTCTCATGTGACGACATAAAAAACACCTGTGACTGAAAGATTTTCCACAGAGCTTACAATAAAATGGCCTCTCACCTATGTGAGCCCTCTTGTGCTTTTTTAGTGTCTGAACATCTACATTGTCTCTGTGATCTTCGCTTCGCAGACGTCTTTTA